ACTTTTGGTTTAAAAAAAGTAAAGCAAAATCCATATCTTTCCATGACTAAATGAAACGCCACTAGTATAATATATATGGGTGTGTGTAGATGAGACGGGGCCCTAAATTGAAGCGGAGGCTTTTTTTAAAAACACCGCTTTCATTTAGGGCCTTTTTTTTTAAACCCCCATGTTGTGAACACACCTGACTTACCTGCCTCTTCAGCAGGGAGGGGAGGGCGAGCTTGCAGCAGGTGGAGCGGTCCCTGGGTTATGGGGGGAGCTGGTGCTTGCCTCTGTGGCAGTGGTGGGCACCCCAGCGGCACCCACCCACAGGCACGTGGCTCAGGCAGTCCCAGGGGGCACTTCAGCCATGAAGGGAAGCGTCGGGCCCCTGCGCAGCTCAGGCAGGCAGCCAGGCTCTGGGGGGGCAGGGCGGGGGGTGGGGGGGAGGTTAGGCGAACCGCTTCTTTCCTGGGTGGAGCCTGCCTTCCCAGGCTGCCTGCATGGGCTTCCTGCAGAGCTCCTGAGCAGCACGGAGACCAGTGCTTTGCTCTGCCGCTGAAGGGGCATCAAACTAAAACTCTTCAGAGGAGTGAGTTTGCTGTGCACCAAGTTATATAAGACGCATTACACCACCAAATTCCAACTGCTGTAGGAAATTAATGTGCAATACTCCACTGAGGCATGCAAACACTGACGCCATTAAAGCGGTGCAACAGCATTTGGCCCTCTTTAAAGTGTTGTGCACACACGTGCCTCGTCTTGCCTACATGCGGCCTATTAGTGGTGTTTCATTTAATCATGAAAAGATGTGGATTTTGCGTTACTTCTTTTTAAACTGAAAATTTGGTTTTTGTTTTTTGTTTTTGTTTTTTTTGAGTTGGAGAAAACCAGGATCCCTGCTTACGATCTTGTCATAGTAACTAAGGCAGATGTGAACTTCAGAGACCAATGATATGTTTTCTGGCTCTCACTCCTGTTTACATGATTCAGGAGTTGGCAACAGTTCCCCAGTAAGTATACCAATAACTTGGAATAGAAATAGCCATTCAAATGCGGTGCTATTAGCCAAGCAGACAGGATTAAGTGTGCATAACAATAGGCTTGTGAGGAATTCTGACTTGGCTGCTTTTTTCCTTTTTTAAAAGAAATTGTTGGTAGTTGTGTGCCCTTTCAGGGGTAAGGAAGAATGTTTTTGCAGCACGGATGTGGGCTTTGCTGAATAAGTAAGAGTTGTGAGGGGCACCAGGTCTTTATTTGGTGGGCTGTAGCCACCGTCATACTGGCTTTGCTGGTGTGGCTATCCACGATAGCTAGGCCAGTGTTCGTTTGGATACGCTTGTGTGCTGCACCTTTTATTTTAAAATAAAACTTGCCAGTTTCCAGTGTCTAGGGCTTTAAGAGAGCATCATGCCTAGAATTAGAAACAAGAACTTGCATTGTGTATGTTTAAAGGGAAAAAAAATCAAACTCCCGCATTTTAGTGTGCGCTTTGTCTTGTCTCCCTGTCCTCCTCTCCCCCATGTAATATTCATTATCTGTTAATACGTCTCATACACTGATGGGAGACTAGGCCCTTAGAGTACTGAGTATAGAGTTACCATTGTGGCTTTCATTATGGTTGTTTGGGATTCGTTAATCCATTTAAAGCATGTCTTCTATAAATATTTCCTTCTCTCGCTAGTTTAAATCCTGTTTGCTCAACACACCAGAACCAGGATGTCACTTTTGTGTAAGAGATGAAATTTTGGAAAGCTATGTATTTAGAAAATATTATTTGATCCAGCTCTCAGCAGCCAAGTCTGTAAACAGAGGCCATCCAGGATGAAGAGGGGGATGGAGATCCTGAATTACTCTGCCCCACAGTATGCCTTGGGAGATTTGGCTTAGTTTTGTTTGTTTGGGGCAGCTCAGATGAAATGAGAAATAAGGGCAGAAGCTGCGAGCGCTCAACGTGAATTAACCCTACCATCTTCAGCAGGCCTGCAGGCGGTGAATGAGACCTTACAGTGTGAAGCGATTTACTAATGAATATCATTTTCAGTTGCCTTTTAATTAAAAATGACATGAGGTCAGACCAGGGGCCAGGCAATTGTAAAACATCAAACCTGTTGTGTAGTGAAATTAAGAAACTTAGTCTACTCCCTTGGCGACAGTATTAATCTCCCCTATTTATTTACCCAGATAAAGGTGGTAAACTGTACGTTACAGAACTTCTAAACTGCAGAGATTATCAGTGCCATGTTATCTCCTTGCTGCTCCATTTTACCACCTTTGAGTTGTTGTTCTAGCTGTTTGGCTTTCCTTGTAGTGTGAGTCCGTTCTTTGCAAACGTGGCTTTTTATCAGTAAGTACTGATAATGGGAATGCAGTGTCTGAATTGCTTTGAAAAGTCTCTAACGAGGTGATTAAGGCTTTCAAGTAAAAGGCAAGTCTCTAAAGCTGGCTCATAGCAGATACTTGTTAAGAAAGGCACAAGTGTGTTCGTGCCTGGCTTTGAAAGCTTATGGAGGAATATTGATTATCTCAAATATTGATTAAAACTTAGTAATGCTGTCTGTTTGCAGGTTTTCAGTTTTTGATTATTAAAACCCCTTGGCAATAAAGAAGGGCCTCAGGGAAGGATCGTGGTCACTGGCCAGCTACACAGTCAATATCAGAGCTGTCCTTCCTCCTCGCTCCTTACTTTCTGTTTAGCTGTAAGCAAGCCCAGCTTCAGATCTTGAAATGTTTTAAAACTTTTGAAATGTTTCGAGTGCCCTTGTTGTGTTTCCAAGTTGTTTTTGAAGCCTTTTGTGTTGTTTTGATTTAGCTGTTTTGAGCTCGAAATGTGTCGTAACCGCTTTGAAATGAAATGCCCGTTGAAATTTTGCAAAGCCTTACCAGTTATGAAGACTGTATTTTCAGCACTAGGACTCCTTGTTTTTCACTCTTCTTCCTTCCCGCTCAGAAGGTGAACTATGAAGAGAACATAATTCTGCTAAACACATCTTCCTTTGTACAGGCAACATCTACTGAAGCAACAGTAAATGCCAAACTTCTACACAGTAAAATAGTTATTACCATATTTCCCATAGGTGATATGTAGAGAGAGGTCCAGGGGTGGGGAGGGAGGCATGTGCCCTGCTTGAGATTTGCCCAGTGCTGCCACTGGCGTCTGCGGGTGGTCATCAACCTACTCCCCTCACCACTGCGGCTGCCTGCAGGTGGTCCCCACTCGGTCTGCCCTTGCTGCCACTATCGTCGTGGCCGCCTGTGGCCGGTCCCCATTTGCTACTTCCACACCTCTGCTACCGACACTGCTGTCACCTGCAGGCGGTCGCCATG